ATGTAACCTTCATAATTATGGGAAAAGTCATAAAGAAGAAAGAAAAAGCCCTTTGCTAACCTCAGTGCTTTCACACACGCATACACCTCGCTCTCTCCTCCCAGCTCAATGACTTTCGATTCTTCATCACCATGCCCTCTGGGCTCCCACGGTACTCAATGCTTCCCCTAGTGCAGCCACACTCATTGTGTGGTTTCGTCCTCTGTTCTTGATTTACCTGATTCCCCTCATCACTGTAAGGACCTTGAGGACTAAGATGGTGTGTTATGTCACTTTGCAACCCCAGCACTCAGCACATGAGGGAATGAATGACTGGGATCCGGCTCTAAATATCTCTATAAAGCTTATAGATTTGAAGTAAGGCCCCGAGCTACCTAAGCTTAACTGCAAGTCAATTCCTGAGGAATGTAGGGCCTCCGCTTAGGGCAGTCAGGCCTTGGCCCTCTTTCTCAGCTGAGAGTTTGTCTTGCAGAGCCTCCTCACGGTCCTCCCAGCCTCTGTGATTTCCGATGTCAAGTCATAATTCACATGTTGTCGGCCTCCTCGTTTAGGACTGCAAGTTGAGAGTCTGCTCACTTCCTTTGTGACTCAATGAGATTTAGAGCCTGACATTTTGACTCCGAGAATGTTTTGAGCCCTTGAAAGATTTTTACATTCCTTTTGCAATCCTATCAAAGTAACACATACATGCACATCAATCAAATAGCTTAGAAGGAAAACCTGTTGGGAAGGATATAACATGAAAAATAAAATGTCTCCACCTTCACCTATATACTCAGCCCCACTTTGAATCATTTCAGTTTTTCGGTTTTCTAACCATACTTAACCCCAACCCTAACCCTAGTTATACTTCTATTTCTTGATTTATCAAGTTTAACCAGAAGTTATTGAATTGTCCCTTTGTGAGATGAGGAATTTAACTTACTGACATTAATCCTTCTGCTGTCCTTATGATTCTTCCAGTTTTTGTTACTTACGTGTTTAATTTGGTTTTGCACTTGATTATCTGTATAATTCTAAGGGATAGACTTATACTTATATTCCTTGATCCATCAACTTTCCTTAGAATGTCTTGATTCTCCACGTGTTTAGGGCGAGGAAGTTGGTGCCTCTGAGGTTCCCTTTATCTTTTCTCACTAACTCTAGCTTGCAATAAAATTTTATAACATTTGTCACATTTGAATTCTATTCTGTAATGGTAATTAATTCTGCTTTACCTATAGGATGATTGTTAAAATTAAAGACTAACATAAAACTTTTACAATACAATAATTTTGTAGCTACTGGTCTTTAAAACCAAGTACCATATTTGGACCCATAGAGAAAGGGACAGACTCTGATATCACTGACCTACTGCTGCATGGAGAACGTTCTAAGTGTCAAGGTCAAGTGGACTCTGTTTTTTTCCTATTGTTATATTCTGTCAGCTGCTTAAGCCATTTAGTTGGCTTCATATGTAAAACATGACTTTCTGAAGAATGAATTGTTGTGAAGGAATTTCTAATTACCTTCTTTTCTTCTTTTTTTTTTAACCTATTGAGAAGCCAATTTTTTAGTTATAGTCTTTGAATTCTTTGGTATAGAGAACTTACTTTATTCTTGAGGGTTTTTCTGAGGGCACCCTAACTTCTAATTCTAGTTGAATCAATTGTTTGTTAAGCCGATAGAAATGCAGTCACTAGAATTTTTTTATTGCAACTTGGGTTAGGTACACTGTGTCTTGGATTCCATGCATTCTCCATTTTTTGGATTCTCTTTTCATTGTTTGGGAGTATATACTTAAATAATTTTTTTGTAAAGAGTCATTTAGTGTCTTAAAAATTTGCCTTCATAATAGATTATTAGTAAGGTTTGGAAAATAATTGCACTTAGCCAATTTAACTCTTCAGCTGAATTTCCATGCAATACAATCTATTTTCTGTACAGAAAAGTTTCCAAATTAAGTACTTTTGGGATAAATTTCACAATGAAGATTTGAATAATCTCAAATTTTACCAATTATAGTATGTTCCATATTGATTTTTATTAATTTAGTTCATTTTGCATGTGCAACCTCTATTTCCACAGTCCAATTTTCCTTTTATTAAAAAATATTTGATTCTTTCATCAATTCTTTTTCAGTTAATAAGACAATTTTACTGCATGTGGTTTTATTTTGTCAGGTCTATTTGAGTGGATAATTTTTATAAAGTCTTCTTTTTCCTGGGTCAGTGTTTGCAGTTTTCAATGTTACTTTTAAGATGTGGTTCTTCAGTTATTTCATCATCAAAACAAACTTTTATATGTGCAGTTTCAGGGATTGTCAGTTTCATTTTGTGTTATTTCTATCAAGTCTCTTTTCCTCAAGAACTCAGGCAAAATATCCCTGGGGTGAGAACAGCAGGGTCAGAGGGTCCAGTTTCTTTTTTAATATCCTCATTATCATGGCAGCAGCCTTCCACCGGATTCCTTGCTGTGAGTCAGCATAAGGTCCAGTTTTTGCATCCAGGGTCTTTTTCAGCTCATTCATTTTGTAGAATCAATTAGCATCCACATGCCGTTGACTGCAAAAGACTTCATCCCTGTCTTAAATGTCTTTCATGAGCTCTAGAGCCAAATACAACAGAGTCTCATTATATGCCCGCTTCATTTATACAAATTCAGTTATGTGTGTTTATGAGGGACAGAGGGGTGGAATGGAAGGGAAGAAGAATGGAGAGGATGGGAGAAGAGACAGAGGAATTTAAGTAGAACGGCCAGTTCCCTCATTGAGGTGTGTCTGTGAAGAGCTTGACCCTGAATGAAGGGGACAGAATGCCTTGAAGCTATAGTTCCACATTTCATTTCAGTTGACATACAGCTCACACGTTGTGAACATTGCATCACCCTTAGTGTGTTTGAAGACACACACATTGCCTTCATTATGTCCCTTAAACACAGTCCAACTACTTTGGGGATTAACTGAAGAAAGAGTGATGGGTTCTGGCACTAGAAGCAAAGCAGACTGTGTTGAATTTGTTGACCAATGAGTTTAGATGCCTTTTCAATATGATGCCTTCCTGAAGGATTGTCAAGAGAAGTGTTGACAATGTATTTTTTTTTCTTATGTGCTGTTCTCACAGCCTAATGCCTGTCAGTTGTGATTCCTCCATATTCAAGTACCACCTGGTTCTCCCCATTTGCAGGTCCCACAAGTAGCTTCAACTCCATGTGTTTTAAACTGGATGTATTCCCCCAAAGCATCCCCCTTTCCCAGTACTCTCTATCTGAGTGGCACCAAGTGTTGACCCAGCTGTCCAAGCCAGGAAATTTGGTTTCTTACTGCCCCTCAAATCCCTCCCTTCCAATTAATCACTTGTCAAGGCTAGTTCTTACGTGACTGTCAAGTCCATCCACTCCATTTGGTCATCCTCAGTGGCTGTGATTTGTTGCAGTAGTTTTCAAGGTCATTCTCTGAGTCTAGCCTCCCCACCTCCTTCATCCTCCATCCCAAGCCCTATTCCTTCTCACCAGTTAGAGGGATATTAAAAAAAGAAGTAAAAGTGTTACTCTGTAATAATAATAATAATAATAATAATAATAATAATAATAATAATAATAATAATAATGACAACCCATTCTTTAGCATCTCCCCATTACCCTCAGGGTAAAGTCCATGGTCTTTACTAAGGGTTATAGGGCCCCATGTGCTCTTACAATGCTGACTGGAGCCTTATCTGACCATTCCATGTCACAAAATCTCCTTTCCTGGGAAAGGGAACTTGTTGATGGTCGCCATATTCTTTTTCATGCAGGGGTCCCTGTACATGCTGTTTGCTCCTCCTGAAACACTCTAATGTCCCCTTTGTTCTTGTCTAAGTCGGATATCTCCTTCAGGTCTCACCTAGGACATTAAGGCTTTGGTAGGCCACCTCTGATTCCCCCAAATTAGTTAGATGCCTATCCTACGCACAGACACAGCACCTTCTACTTCTTGCTATAATGTTAATAGCATTTGTCTTACTCTATTATAATTTCCTGCCTTTTATCTGTCTTCTCCATTACACCCAGGAGGAGGGACTGTGGTTTTTTTCACCATTAGTGCCTAGCCCTGTGCCAAGAACAGACACTGAACACATGACTGTTGAGTGAACAAACCAGTGTTGTCAGAGTCCCGTCATAACTCCCTGGACTGATTGGGGAGTCAATCCCAGATCGGCATTCAGCCAATGAGAAAGAGAATGGCTGACAGTGGGAATAAAGGCATTCAACTTGAATGTTGTTGCTTTTTCTCAGTCTAGGTTTAAGCCTGGGGCTATAGAGAAAGTCCCTGTGGAAGGGGCTGGCAGGGATAGGGGCTGGGAGAGCTATCAGTCTGCGTTAGAGTGACCCTATTAGCTTTGACAAATTCGTTTCCTTTTCTTGGGGTCTTGCTTCTGCTGGGTCTGGGTCTCAAGTAAGAGAGCTGGCATAGGATCATGGGTGTTCATGTAAATATTTACCCCTGTGTCCGTGGGTCTTTTGTTTCCATTCCACTGCACTTTAAGAACTTTGCTGACCAAATGTGAGAAAAGAGCCATGCACTTAGTTTTGATTTTGCAGCCCATAGATATGTGCCACTCGACTCCCTATTCCTTCCTCTCCTGTTCACACTGTGGCCACTTATCTACCATCTGCAGGCCTCACTTCAGTAATTCAGCTGGTTCCATTGTCTTGCTCCATGGTTGGGTCTCAATTTTAGAGACTGGGCTTCTCTTGCCTCTTGTCCCTGAATTCAACTTCCCACCTGTCTCCAAATCCCCCAGGAATGACACCCAGTTTTGGTCTTGTCTATGCCCAAAGTTTCTGCTATATTCACAGTGGTGGCCACTTCTTCTGACCTGTCCCATAGCCAGTAAGCTCCCAGGGCCCCTCACCTCAGTCTCCACTCTTGTAGAGCCCCATGACCTTGTCCTTGGAGAGTGGAATCCCACGGTAGGCTGTGTGATTACCTCCCAGAGTGCTCTGAGGATCTGCTGCTTGTCTCTGTCCTGAGGGTGAAGATGGATGACTGGTGCTACCCAGTGATCTTCCCAGATGCACGGAATTTCCGCCCCTTCACTGCTGACTCTCTCGCCGCAATTGAGAAGCGAATTGCCATAGAAAAGGAGAAAAAGCTCAAAGATCCGACAGCTGCAGAGCCCCAACCTCGACCTCAACTTGACCTAAAGGCCTCCAGGAAGTTGCCCAAGCTGTATGGTGACATTCCCCGTGAGCTGATAGCGAAGCCCCTGGAAGACTTGGACCCATTCTACAGAAATCATAAGGTAGTTCCATGGGGAGACTCGAGTGTTCTAACCATGCAGTTATAACTGGTGTTTCAAGGGTCTCCAAGCACTGATTTTGGGGTTTGCAGAGGGTAGGCTGTACTGTTCCTTTGCTAACATCCACTGTCATTGCCTTTGTAATCCTGAGAACCCCTTTCAGTCCTCATTTTGTCTCTGTAATGCACATGTTGGAGAAGAACGTGAAGAATAGGAACAGCAGAAAAGTTAAAAGGAGCACAGAGTAAACATAAAATGGTGTCAGGAAAGAGGCCTAGACTAGCAGTCAGAAAAGTTGGATGTAGGCCATTTCATGATTGGCTTTATGACTTAAGGTAAATCACTTCACTAATCCTCATTTTTCTAATCTATAAAATGGGAGTAATGCCTGGTTTCCCTACCTTACAGCATAGACCTGCTATGGGAAGTACTTTATAAACTGTAAAGCATTATACCACTACAAAGGAGTAATACTGCTCTCCAGAAATGTCCAATTCAGCAATAAGAGTTTACCTTGAAACAGAGTTTACCTCTAAAAAGCCTTAGGAAATAGGATTTTTAGGCTATTTTAGACTTATGAAGGTCAAAACCTTAGACCAACGCTTGACACATAAACAGAGCTCAATAAATAAAGTCTAAGAATATGGTAATCAAGTGGATAAATGCAAATTATATGTAAATCCCCTGCCAATATTGTGATAGGCTTGCTGTTTCATCTACCTGAGTATAGTTCTTGCAGGGAACTTGCAGTAAAAGTTCCCTGAGTGAGGAAATGTGAGCTCTGGGTTCCTCTGATGGCTGTTTGAAAGCCTGGGGCAGTGAGGACAGTTATCTCCTTTCAAGAAAGGCTAAGAAGACCATGCCACCATCATCTCAAGGTGTGATCCAGCAGAGAATGGAAAATGCACCTCACCAGACTGAGGTCAGAGAGGAAGGAGGCTGGGGAGTCTGGGGAAAGCTCTAGAAAACATGGGATACTGAGAGCATCTTTTGCTGGCAACCATGAGAAACTGAACTCTCCGAAGAAAGATTGCCTGGTTTGTATGTCCTTGAGTTGACTTAGGGTTACCAGGCAAAGTGGGGACCATGTGTATAGAGGAAACTAGGGTATGAGTAAGAAGGACAAGAAAGGGGAAGAGAGATGAAGGCGCAAAAATACTCCAGTATTTCTCCTCCTTATGCCCCAGATTTCCAGGGGCTTCTTGGAGGCAGAGTTGTTGAATGTGAGCTAGCTGCTGGAGGCCTCCTTCTGCCTCAAGACTGGATAGGAGACCCATGAGGCAGGTAGCAGCGTGGTGTGTTGTGGACAGTCCTGGTAGGATGGGCTCTGTCCCAGCCTGGGTAGATGTTCTAGAACCACCTCTTCTCAGCCTGGGTCCTCCCTTCAAATCAGAAGACGTGATACTTGTTTAGAACTTTGCACACCCATGACCAGTGCTCTCAGCAGTCATATGAGGTATGTGTGGTAACTGTTAACACTCTACCTTGCAGACGAGGAAACCATAGGCTAGATGAGGAAGTGGCTTATGCCAGGTCAAACAACCAGTAAAGGGTGGAGCTGGGACTCAAGCCCAAGGGCCCTTCCTATAGTCGCAGGCCACTTCTTCTCTTTAGAAACTTCCATTTTGAAAAGCTACAGAGAAAGGGGTGGAGATGTGTCAGTAAGTAGACAGAGGAGCTAGTATCTACCATTTTAACCATTAAAACCCTGGCAAGTGTAGTTAAATACACCATTAGTTGAAATATTTAAAGCAGTCAGAGGAAGCATTAATAAAATATCAAAATCAAAGGGCACAGAAACAGAGCCATATCATGCCACCTATTAATTTGGAGTGACCTATCTCAAGGAGAGGTTTGCTCTGTGCCCTAACATTGTCTTTCTATCCAAAGGAAGGGCACAGAATTCCCAGAGTGGGTCTTGGGCTTCTGGGCCCATAGCTTTTTTAGAACTCTGCGGCCCATTTCATTTTGTCATGGAAGCAATGGAAAAGACCCCATCCATGGGCTTCTCTGCAGCCTGATGGTTAGCAAACAGGTAAGTTTCAGCACCTCAGGGGAGGAAGGCAGCTGGTTGGCAGTGGCTGCAGTTCTGGTTCTTCTGCCATGGCAGCACTCACCCTGCTATCTTGGGCCTTGGTGACAAGGCCTGTCTTTCCTGTCTGAGAACATGTTGAATTACATGCCAAGTAGTACTTTTTGCAAACCTGAAAGGAACAGTTGTACGGGGAGACAAAAAAAAAAACACCCTTGTTCTGTGAAGGCTTTTATAACTAACAGCCTAAGGACACGTACAGGGACAGCTAGATTACAGTCCCCTGGAAAGAAGGAGGTCTGGGCGTTGATGTTAGAAGCCTGTGAGTGAAGGTTGTGGTCCAGCGCTTGCTTCCTTCCCAGAATCCAGGAAGCCGTGCTAGGAGGAAACGGGCACAGGCAAAGTGTTCTTTAATAGGGTCCAGATGGGCGCTTTGGAGGGGACGGTGCACTATTTGGCAGGTGGTTCCTGGGTTTGGCATCCCTGGACCTCCCCTTTACAGGCCAGTGGGGGCTGCAGTCATTGTGACAGACAACAAAAAACACCCACAGGCCTTTCCAGATGGTTTCTGTAGGCCTTCCCCTGCCAGTTGAAAACCAGAGGCAGATTTGCCCCTCTCTCCATGGGGGGCATTGGAGAGCAACTCTGGGAACCTGATGGCTTTTCAATTGAAGATCCTCAGGGTTAGAACTGATTGGCAGGCTACCTCGTGTAGAACTGTTCAAGCATAACAGTATGGACTCTTTCAGTCCCTGACTATTCGAAGAGTCATGACAAATTTCCAGTAGTAATCAAAATAATTGAAAATAGTCTGCTGAATGTGAATGTTCAACTCTACTTCCATCTCTTCAAGTTCTCTTCTAGTTCTTATCTTCGTAGATATATACCACAGAGTACAATACGAAGAGCTTTGCTTGACCCAGTTATTACTCTTCACCCCTATTTTTTTTATTTGCAGGTCCCATGTGTTCCATCTCTGGGGCTTCCAGAATATTCCACTGGGTGAACGGTCTACATCCCAACACTTATCTTGGGGCTCTGAGTGAGACCCAGGCTTCCAGAGTCACAGCGTGGGCTGGTCAGAAAGTACCTCAGGCTTCAGCGTGACCCTCTCCAATCAGAAGCCGTAGTTGTAGTAATAAGCCAAGCCACACCTCAATCTGTGGTTCCACTGAGTTTTCTCTAAATGAGCTCATGATAAATATTGTTTTGTCACTGCATATAATCCCTGTTGTGTTTGTTCTTTTGCAGACATTTATGGTGTTGAACAAAAAGAGAACAATCCACCGCTTCAGTGCCAAGCGTGCCCTGTTCATTTTGGGGCCTTTCAATTCATTCCGAAGTTTAGCCATTAGGATCTCGGTCCATTCATATCCTTTTATTGCATCTTTTACTAAGTCCAGATCATGTGATGAGTTTACAAGCTGAGCCTCAGGGTGTTCACATATCTGTTGAGTGGAAACAGCTCATTCTTTCAACAAATGCTGGCTGAGTGCCTCCTGTTGCATGGCAGGGTTATGCTAGCGCTGGATGTGAACAAGGCCTAACCCCTGCTCTGGGATCCAGTGGCCCCAGGAAGAGCCGGGTCAAAGGCGGGTGATTTCCTTAGTGAGATGGGCAGTTTGGAAATGATAGCATGAAGGAGCACCTCTGTGCTTCGGAGGCATCAGGGATGGCTTCCTGGAGAAAGGAGCAACTCAGTGGAGACTCAGATAAAGGCTGTAAACTGTCAAACTTTGTGCCGTAGGTAGCCGATAATTGTGTTGTGTTGGACTTACACAGTGTTTAAAACTCTTTGGAAACAGTCTCTAATGTTAAAAGGCCAGGTTTCTAGGTTCTCTTGAAAAATGGAACCTCTGTCAAAGCTTGGCCTGCGGTCTTACCTGGCAAATCAGTGTAGTGAGAAACCACTGCCTCTTAGAGGACAAGTGCCACCTGTTTCACCACGTCTCCACCCCTCCCTGTGACCCAGCATCAGCCTCCTTCACCCAGTTATGTGGCTTGCCAGGCTCTTAAGACTGAGTTTGCAACCTTAGACTTAAAGGATAAAGACAGGTAGGAATCACTGAGCTTCTCTGATGTGTGCAGTGTTGCAGTGTGTGGGGGTGATGGGGGGTGGTGGTGAGACACTAGGCAGTTTTAGACTGGGGGAGGTGAAAACACGTGGATTGGTAGACATAATGGAATATTGAGGAGAATAGGAAGGAATAACTGTTTAGGTTGTGTTTCCTAGAAGCAGAGACTGAGATAGGGATTTTCATTTAAGTGACTGAGTAGAGAAGAAGGAAAGAGGGAAGCGGAATGGAACAAAAGCAGGAGGCACACAAGGACAGGGCCTGAGGCGGCCTGAGCCCACAGTGGGCTGCCCTGCCTGGAAGTAAGGGGCCAGCTGTTTGTAAGTCTCAGTCAGTCAGACGTGGAAGGGGGCTGTAGCCCTCTAGGAGAGGAGCCTGCCATTCAGCCAAGGACAGTTCTTCAGGGGAGGGGACAGCTGTGAGCTGTTCTCAGCCAGCTCTCACATTAGAGGACAGGTGCACCTGCAGAGAAGAGGACCTGGAGGCCGCCCACAGCCTGTTCGCTACAGTCAGTAATGACACATGCCATCCTGCAGTGTACCTGCCTTAACAGATGCTGGTCACATTGTTTAGCATGTTCATCATTTGCACTGTCATCATCAACTGTGTGTTCATGGCCTCAACTTATGGGAATCAGCGCATTAATATAGACACCGACAATGCTGAGTAAGTGTGTGTCCTATGTCTCTAAACAAATACATCTGAAAGAATTATAACTAATCAGAGTTTAGATATACAGAGAAAGAAAAAGTCACCTGTAATCCCAATTCCCCAACACAAATGCTGGTAGAGTCAATTTTGTTCATATATATATAACAATTGTCTTTAAAGGTCTTTTAAAATTACATTGGTAATTAATAGCATACATACACATTTTATGTCTAGCTTTCAAGTGGGATTCTCTGTGCTTACGTAGGCTTTATAGGAATCTGTTTGTTGGCTATATGACATTTTATCAGGTGAATAAACCATAATTTATTTAACTATTCTAGTATTTTACTACTATTAATAGTATTCCAACAAGCATCTTTTTGCATCAAGCTACTTTTTCAAAATTATTACTTTTTTAGGATAGAGTCTTAGAAATGGGTTTACTAGATCAAAAAGTACATTTGAATGCTTTAAAAAATATATATATATCGACAAAATGTTTTCCAAAAAGTTTGTAGCAATTTACTCTGCCATCAGCACCATACTCTGATAGCAAGTTGTACTAAGTTCTTGCCAGTGTTGCATTTTTTTTCTTCTTTAATTTATGGAATTAAAAATATTTGCATTTCCTTAATTTCCAGATGGGTTGAACTTTTTTAGTCATAGTTTGTGAATCATGCATTTCCATCTTTGCCCATGCTATATTTTTGTGTTTTTCCTGGTCAGTTTGAGTGAGTTCTTTTTACAATTAAAATATTAACTTTTTGTAATTTTTAATTGGTTATTAGAGATACAAGTTAACCTAGAAAGATCTATATTTTGATAAATATTCTCTTACATGTTGTCCTATAGTTTTGGTCTTTCAGGAACATATTGAATAATACATTGAATTTATCTCATATTATTTAATATGAGATCATTTACTTCTATCACATATTTAACTATGTGATGGAGACCACTACAATCAACATACGGAACATTTCAACCCAAAGTTTCCTCATGCCTCTTTGCAGCCAATCCCCTGCCCACCATTCTCAGCCTCATGCAAATACTAATCTGCATTCTGTCACTCTAGTGTTGCCTTCCCTGGAATTTCATATAAACGGAATCATATGGCATGGATGATAACATACTTTTTTGTCTGGCTTCTTCCAGTTACCGTAATGTTTTGAGATGCATTCATGCTCTTGTATGAAGCACTAGCTTCCCCCCGCCCCCCACTCCCTTTTTTATTTGCTGGGTTGTATTCTGTTGTATGGATGTACCATAGTTGGTTTTCTCATTCTGTTGGTGGACACTTGCGTTGTTTCCAGGTTGTTGTGCTTTTTTGTTGTTTTTGTTTTTGTTTTGGCTATCACAGATAAAGTTGTCATGAACATTTCTGTATGAAAGTTTTTTTTCTGTGTGTGGAGATGTTTGCATTTTCCTTGGATAAAGACCTAGCAGTGGAATGGCTGGATCATATAAGTATATGAGTAACTTTGTAAGAAGCTGCCAGACTTTTCCAAACTGGATGCAATGTTGTACCTTCTTGCCAGCAGTGTGTGGAAGTTTCAAAGTCTCTATTAATTTGCTCCTTCAATTTACTTCGATTTTAGTTTGCTCTTCTCCTTCTAGCTTCTTCAAGCATTGCTTTAGCCTCCTGCCACAGATTTTGATACATTGTGTGTTTATTACCTTTCAGTTCAAAATATGTCCTACCTTTTCTTGTGATTTCTCCTTTCTCCCACGTGCTTAGAATTGTGTTTTTTAACTTCCAAATATTTCATGTTTTTCTAGTTGTTTTATTGTTATTGATTTCCAATTTAATTCTGTGTGGTTAGAGAATACACTTTGTAAAATATCAGTCTTCTGAAATTGAGAGAAACTTGTTTTATGGTCTACCTTGAGGAATGTTTCATGTGCACTTGAAAAGAACGTGGATTCTGCAGGTGTTTGGTTTGATATTCTGTAAATAGTTGATTAGGTTAGGGTGGTTGATAATGTCATTTACATCTTTCATACCTTTACTGCTTTTATTAATACTTATATGAATTACTGAAGAATGGCTTGAAATCTCCATCTATGATTGTGGATTTGTCCATTCTTCCTATCTTTTCACCAAATTTTGTTTCATGTATTTTGCAGCACTGTTATTAGGTACATGAACATTTATGATTATACATCTTCCTGATGTATGCATTCTTTTATCATTATGAAATGTCCTTTGTCTCTAGTAATACTCTTTTTCATATTTGTTTTGTCTGATTTTGACATAGCTACTTCAGCTTTCTTTTGCTCATTGTTTGCATTGTATATCTTTTTCCATCCTTTTACTCTCAAACTTTTTGTGTTTCTGAATTTTTAGTATATCTCTTATTAAAAGCATATAGTTCTTTTTTGTTTTTTCATGCTGTCTATCAATCCAATCTTTGCCTTTTAATGGAATGTTTAGTTCACATGCATTGAATGTGATTTTGGATATACTTGTATTTAGGTCTGCTGTTTTTCTCTTGATCTCATCTGTTTTTTTGTTCGTTAACTCTTATGTTTCTTGGTCCTCCTTTCCTGTCTTCTTTTGTGTTAGTCAGGTATGTTTATTATTTCATTTTAATCCTCTACTGGCTTTGTAGCGTTACTTTGCATCATTTTCTAGTGGTGGTGCCCTCTCTGTTGCTGGGTGGGATGTGGAATCTGGTTAAGCCCAGCCAGCTCAGGGGCTGTGCCTTGGAGCAGGGAGCCAGGGACACGCCTGGGAATAGAAACCATCCTGGCAATGTCACTGGGGAAACCGGACTCCCCTTTGGAGAGTTGGCTGTTCCATGTGAGGAACTAAATGCTCCACAGAGGCTATAGCATCCCTGGAAGCTGTTGTGGTCAAAAGAGTGGGACCTGTGGAGGAGGCAGTTTCAGGAGGTGGCATTGCCCCCATAGCCGTGGTTTGCCCTGCCCAGCGCTTCTGGTAAGATGTAATGAGTCCACTCTCCCCATTAACTGGAAGCAGGGGTCCGACTGGGAGCTAATTTGCTCAAGGCATTTTCACTACTAAAAGACCCATAAGGCTAAGATGTGAAAAAACCGTTGCTAGGCTTTATGGAATCAGACAGGCTGGAGGCAGAGGTGGGAAGTGGGAGAAGCTGCTGCTGTCCCCTGGTGGCATTGAGGCCAGGAGTGAATGCATGAAAGGAAGGCTGGAAGGAGCCTGCTGAAAATGTCCTCAAAAAGGAGGCATGCAGCTAAGTGGTTAGGCCCACGGGGGAGAGTTTCTTCAGTTTCTTCAGTTAGAAAGCATTTAAATGGGGACATTGAATTCAAGTTAATAGCTCTCGGAGGATGATGGCAAAAGTCCCCTAGGACCAAAGAATGGTGTTCTGTTAGCCTACTTGGACATCGCCTTGGCTCTGCTGGGTCCCCGAACTATGCTTGAACTGACAGTGACACGCTCCAGAAGGTGTCGTTTGCCTGATGGGTTTAGGTCTCCCCATCACGGAGCTCCTAAGCCAAGCTTCCTATAGGTGGGCATGGCTCTACTCCATATCAAATGTCATCTTGGCCTGCCTGTCCCACCATTGGCCAGGCTTCTGCTGAAAAAGAGAACGGTAGGAGTGGGAGGTGGAAGGCTAGATGGTCAGGCTGAAATGGGACGGCTGTCTCTTTTGCTTGAGATCTAAAAGAAAACTTGTAAAATCTCACAAATCTGTAACTGCAGCCTTTTCTCCAAATACTAACAACATTATACATTTTCCCTGAGTTTAAAACGTGACATTTCAGAGCAGACATTAATTAATCAACTGTGGTCCTCTGTCACCTAAAAGGTGATCAGCTTAGAAAAAGTCTTAAGCAGAGAGGAGCTCTTATATGTGGCATCCTCACCACCATTTCTTCTCTTAGACTTGGCTGCTTTTGGATTTTTCAAGTTCTCAAGACCTTAGTTCTTTAGCTTTGAGGGCTAACAATGGCTGGATAGTCTATCAGAAAAGGTCCACTTTTTTTACTCCAAACTGAGAGATTGTTCAAATTGATTGTTTTGGTCCCAAAAGTGGGACGTGTGTGTGCGTGCGCAGGTGCATGTGCAGATCTAGCATTTTTCACAACTTGGCATTATAACAAGAGAGACAGGGTATTGGTATTGTGTTTTGTTTTGTTTGGAGGAGGAGGAGGAAGGGGAAGAAGGGAAATACAGGATAGACATGATGAAGGACTCAGCGAAGAAAATGGAAGTAGTTTTTAAAAAAAGTTGTGGTAAAATATTCATTATATAAAATTGATCATCATAGATGATTGGATAAAGAAGTTGTGGTATATATGCACAATGGAATACTATTCTGCCATAAGAAAACATGAAATAGTGCCATTTGCAACAACATGGATGGGTCTTGAGATTAAAATGCTAACCAAAATAAATCTTAACCATTTTTAAGCGTACAGTTCAGTGGTATTAAGTACATTCACATAGTTGTGCAACCCTTACCACCATTCATATCCAGAACTCTTTTCATCTTGCAAAACTGAAACTCTGTACCTGTTAAACAATAACTCCCCATTCTGTCCCCCCCCCGCCCCCTTCACTCCCTGGCAGCCACATTCTACTTTCTATCTCTACGTAGTATTTGACTACGCTAGGTGTTTCATATAAGTGGAATCATATAGTATCTGTCTTTTTGTAACTGTTCTATTTCCTTCAGCATAACGACTTCAAGGTTCATTTATGTTGTAGCATGTGACAGGAATTCCTTCCTTTTTAAGGCTGAATAATGTTCCATTGTATGTACCACGTTTTATTGATCTAGTCATCCATCAATGAACATTTGGGTTGCTCCCACCTTTTGGCTATTGTGAATAGCACTGCTGTAAACCTGTGTATGCAATTATCTCCTTGAGACCTTGCTTTCAATTCTTCTGTGTATATATACCTAGAATTGGGATTGCTGGATCATATGATAATTCTATTTTTAATTTTTTTTGAAGAATCTCCATATTGTTTTCCATGGTGGTTGCACCAATTTATAATCACACCAGTGGGGCATAAGGGTTCCAATTTCTCGCCAACACGTTATTGTCTGCTTTTTTGATAGTAGCCATTCCCATGGATTTAAATTGATAGCTCACTGTGATTTTGATTTGCATTTCCCTGATGATAAGTGATAGTGAGCATCTTTTCATACGCTTGTTGGCCATTTGTATATCATCTTTGGAGAAATGTCTGTTCAAGTAGTTTGACCATTTTTAAATTGGATTATTTGATTTTTTGTTGGTGAGTCATAGGAGTTCTTTCATATAATCTGGATATTAACCTCTCATCAGATGTATGATTTGAAAATATTTTCTTCTAGGAGTTTTATAGTTTCTGGTCTTACATTAGCTCTTTAATCCATTTTGGGCTAATTTTTTAACATGGTATAAGGTAAAGGTCCAATTTCATCCTTTTGCACGTGGATATTGAGCTTTCCCAACTCCATTTGTTGAAAAGACTGTCCTTTTTCCATCGCATGTTCTTAGTATCCTTGTTGAAAATCATTTGACTATATATGTGAGGGCTTATTTCTGAGCCCTTTGTTCTATTTTAGTGGTCCATATGTCTGTTTTTATGCCAGCACCACACTGTTTTGATTACTTTAGCTTTGTGATAAGTTTTAGTGTAAGAAAGTGTGAGACCTCAAACTTTGTTCTTTTTCAAGATTGTTTTGTCTATTCATGGTCCCTTGAAATTCCATATGAATTTCAAGATGGATTTTTTTATTTCCACGAAAAATGTCATTGGGGTTTTCATAGAATTGTATTGAATCTGTAGATCACTTTGAGTAGTATAAACCTCTTAACAAATTGTCTTCCAACCCATGAACATGAGATATGCAAAGATCCAGTTTTTAGCCTTGTTATTTACTCTCTGTGTTCCTTTGCCGTCATCCCCTTCTGTACATCAGAGTGACAATTCTAGAAAAGCACTGAGAAACTACAATCCCCAGTCCTAGGTCTCCACATGAGCCGAAACTACTGTCATGAATATGGCTGTGAAGCCAGCCATTGTAAAGCAGTTTTACAACTTTATCCACGGGTCTGTCTCTCAGAAATTCTAATTACCAGAATTTGCTTGAGGAGCTTGCCTTTCTGAACTCTGGTTTGCTGAAGACCAGAACGTTAAATGTCACATTGTAATGGGTAAAACTATATTAAGGCCAGATAAAACAGGTGGGCACTCTGCTTGTCACATCACTTATCATGTTCCTTCTTGTTCTGAATGATTTGCTTTGTAGGTATGTCTTCACTGGGATTTATATTTTTGAAGCTTTGATAAAAATATTGGCAAGAGGTTTTATTCTGGATGAGTTTTCTTTTCTTCGAGATCCATGGAACTGGCTGGACTCCATTGTCATTGCAACAGCGTAAGAAATGTTAAAGGTTTTTACTGGAGACAGACTTGGGGTGGGAAGGAAGCCCCTTGGCCAACATCAGGGCTCTGAATCCACAGGAGTGGCTTACATCTAGGCCTAATCATCCCTAGAGCTCTGAGTGCAGTTTTGGTTGGCCCTGAATAGCAACCTGCAGCTAACTGGCCAGAGGCTCCTATGCGCAAATCCATTTTTCATTCTCTCATGCTCTCATTCTTTCAGCCATTCACTCACCAAACACTGGCCGAATATAGGCCAGTTTCTGTGTAAGATACACGGGTTGTGGTGATGAAAAACAAAACAAGAGAAAAACCAAACAAACAGACATTGTTCTCACCCTCTTGAAGCTCACAGTCCAGACAAGAATAGAAACAATTAATGACTATTACAATCCAACAGGGTGAGTGATAGGATAGGAGCTGTGCATATATCAGGCTGTCAGGGCATGTAGGCGAACCAAGGAGTCTAAAGAATCTTTAGCTACTACAAGGTCACAAAGTTTGATAGTTTGGGCTCTTCTGTTTGAGTCTATGGTACATTTTGAGTTCGTTATTGTGTATACTGTATATGACATGAGGTGAGAATTGAAGTTCTTCCTAAAGGGAAGAACATCAATTTGGTATCTGCCTGATGAGATGGAGTCAGCAAAATAAAAAGCGAGAAGAACAATTGCTAGCACAGTAACAATAAACGTAACATTACTTAATTTGTGCCAGCCATTATTTTAAGCACTTGCCTATATTTTCCTATTTAATATCCACACCCCTTTGAGGTAGATGCTATTAATTTCAGAGCTGTACATTTGAAGTTCAACAGTTGGGTGCTTTTGGTTATTGAAAGGCGGTGTGGTGCAGTTGGTGACGGGTGAGGGCCCTGGCGTCAGACTACCTGGGTTCCTTCTGGTCTTGGCCACAGAGCAAGACCTTAGGGAGGGACACTGGGGCCTGGAACTTGGTAGCCAGTCAATAAATGTTTCAACTGATTTATATTAATGGAGGTAGCCAAAACTGCATGCACTATTTCAATGAATCCTCACCTTTGTCTAAATAGAAAGATTCGCCGAGAATGGCGCCTTGTGCAATCTGTGGTCCATAGCAGTAGAGAATGATACTCTGAGACCCTGAGACAGAGGAGGGCCTGAAGGTGAGGCCCTAGATTTCACCTGGGTGGCCACAGAGCCCAGGCTATGTTTACTTGTGCCTTCATGGAGGGGTGCAGGGTAGCCGCAGGACTGAGCAAGCCCAGACTTTTCCTGTGCCTCGTTTTGTAGGTTTGTCTCGTATTCACCAAGTGCCAAAGGCAGCGGCATCAGTCTGTCATCCCTGCGTACATTTCGAGTGTTCAGAGCTTTGAAAGCCATTTCAGTAGTTTCAGGTAAGTCCCTCTCACTTTCCAAATTGGCTCTTAGTGGAAGAGAATGATCTTTTATATGTAAAATGTCTCTAAATGTTACATAAACCCAAACCAAACAAACCAACTCTGCTTTTGCTTTTCATTTGATTGTTCAACACATATGTGTGTGGTCCAGGCACTGTGCTAGCTGCTGGGGATAGACCAGTGAGCAAACAGACCAAGACCCCTGCCCTGATGGACTTTGCATTCTAGGTGGGGGTGGGGAGACAGACCCTGAGTAATAGCTATAATAAGTAAGTAAAATATCTAGCATGTTAGAAAGTGATATGCTCCATGGAAAAATAAAAAGTAAACAACATGAAGGCTACCGGAAGTCACAGGGATTAGGGAGGCAGGTTGCAATTTTCAATAGAGTGGTCAGGATGGGTGTCATTGAGAAGGTGAGATGTGAGCAGATTTGAAGGTGGTGACAGTTTCATAAGCAGATACATGGGAAAAAGTGTTCTGAGACTAGAAAACAGTCAATCTATTTTTTTTTTAAGCTGAGCCATCCTGCCACCTGTTGGCAGCTCAGCTCAGGCTGTGAATCAAACCCGGGACCCTGTTGCTCAGAGCTCAAACTCTTAAGTGAGCTCTTAACCAACTGAGCCACTCAGCTAACCCTAGAAAACAGTCAATCTAAACACGGAGGAATACAAAGGATACAGGTGGGGCTGGAGCAGACAGAGTGAGGAGCCAGGTGGTGGAGGTGGGACCACAGGGGTGAAGGGGAGGCTTTGTAAGCACTGGGAGGACTTGGACTTTGCTCTTAGAAAAAAACGACAGCTGTGTGAGGGCTTAGAGCAGAGGAGTTTCATGATCTGACTTAGGTTTTGAAAGGATTACTCTGGCTGTTGTGTGGGGAATAGAAGGTGGGGGAGCAAAGCGTGAAGCAGGAAGCCCAGATAGAGGTACGGTGGGTGCCATGGAAATATGCCACTCAGATCTGCTGCTGCAGGGAGCATAGTTGACGACTGGTCCCAGCTGCCACCTCTCTGGATTTCCCCGCTGCATTCATGTTCATGCCAAGATCATACTTTCCCTGCATGTTGGGGACACCATTCCTGAAGGATATGGGACTCCTCTATTGGGGGACTTTGGCTCAAGGGCTCCCCAGCCGCCTGGTTGAGACTGTCACAGCAGCACTACAGTCTGAGGCTCTTCCTGTCCAACCCTGATTCCTTCCTGCTCTGCTTTCTCAGGTGTCAGCTATGTGTCACAGTCTGAAGCGCTCTCTGCCAGCTCTACTCCCTTCCCCTTATTCTTCACATGCATTTCACTCAGCAAATCTTTTGTACATATGGTCCCATAGTATCTGCTTTTCAAAGAACGCAAACCAACAAGAGAACCCAAACTGCCATAATCCAAGCAAGAGATGGTGATACTCTCAGATGGGCAGAGGCGTTGGCGGGCAGTGGTCAGATTCTGCATAAATTTGAAGATAGAAACAGTAGGATTTCCTGATAGGTTGATCATAGCCTGGTGTGAGCAAAAGAAGAGAGTCAAGGATGAGTCAAGGTTTTTGGCCTGAGCGACTGGAAAGATGATGTCATCATTGACTGAGACAGGGAAGGCTGTGAGAGGAGCAAGTCTTGGTGGTCAGATTAGGAGTTAGTTTTGGACACGTTCTATTTGAGACGGCTGTGAGACATCCAAGTGAAAGTCTCAAGTGGGCAATTATATATGAGTCTGGAGTTCTGGGAATGCATCTGCGCTGGAGAGGTAATTTTGGAAATCATGAGCCTAGAGATGGCATTTAGAGTCATGAAATCTGATGAGATCACCACGATGGAGAATGGAAGCGGACGAAGGTCTCAGTCCTGGGGCGCTACAACCTTAAAAGGGAGGGGAGAAGAGGGGAAGCGAGGAAAGCAGGTGAGCAGAAGCCACCAGGAAAGTCGGAGGGAAGACAAAGGTGGTCTCCCTGAAGTCAGGTAGGAAAGGTGCTCTGTGAATCAGGATGAAGCTAAGGATGGGTTGTGAATTTGAATTCCAGTTTGAAAAGAAACAAAAAAATGAGGTTATTATGACACACTCTTCTCCTTTCCTTTTTCCTCTACAAAAAAAATCTTTATTAAAAATGTTGTTTCTCTGATCTCCTTTCCCACTTCCCTTCTCCCTGTCCTTTTTAGTTGCTTCTATCAATGGCTTAGCTCCAACACCAAAAGTACAGGCAACTTGGCTCTTTTCAAACAGAGCAGGGGGTTATTTTTTGAAACTCCAGAAAAACAACTGCATAGTGATAAAGAAACTGGCAGTCAGAGGACACTTATGTAGAATGTGTCCCTCCTCCTCCTTCTCTTCCTCTTTTACAAGGTGGACCTTGGTTTCCCAGTGGATTTAGGGGCTTTCTGCATGATCTGGGTCCCTTGTATTTTCATACACATAAAATATACATCCAGGCAGTCACTTAGGAGCTTTAGTGTCCCCTTCTTCATCTCTAAGCAGGTGAACATAGCCTCCCTTTTGACTCATGAACACATGAGATCCCCGGATGCCTTGTGGAAGTAAGGGTGTGAGGTACAATCTTTTATGGAACTATGTCAGAATTGTTTAGGAATCACAACCATCTTCCCTCATTCAAATCTCTTTGGAGAAGACTCAAGCCTCTGATCAATGAAACTCGGGCTTGGATGAGGTTGTAGTAATTGCTTGTTTAGCTGCAATTGGGGACATAGTGAATGGAGACGTAGGCTGGCCTCAAGGCTCCTCCCCATGTGGCATCGCACTTTGTGGGAAGGCCATCCCCAGAAGGCTGCTGCCGCCTTGTGTTCTCAAGTCTACTCGTTGCAGTGTACACCAGTCAACTGCAACTTTGTCACTTAGTGACATCCCACACATTGCAATTCACATCTGGTTGGTTATCTCTCCAGCTGTGTTGAGAGCCCAGCCCATGACTCAGTGGTGTGCTGGGGCAGAATTGTTCTGGCTCCCCAGCAGATTGTGCACATCTTCTCCTAACTCTGCATTCAGGGACGTCATGTTGGTAGCTTGAAACCAGCTGGGGAAGAGGGATCTACACTACAGAATTCAACAAACAAGGGGACCTGTAAATGCTACAGATGAAGACTTTCCTGCACCCTCATCAAACCTCCCGCCCCCCCCCCCCCACCCCCACACAGGGCTGATTTTAAATACTTGCCAGCATACCACAAAATTATGTTCTTCTTATTTTGTAACTTTGGCAGCCTAATAGTGTGCCATGGACACAGTAGGTACTTTATAAATATAGAGGTGTCCCCCAAAAACGTATACACATTTTAAGAAAGGAAAAAACTATTAAAATTGTAATAATATATGCCGATAACAAAAAATGAATACAAGTCACGTTTGACTTCTGCAATTACAAGAGGTGCTCTAAGTGGTTACCATCAGCGTCCAGACGCTTCTGATTACGGTGAACTACTGCTTGAGCAACTCTGATCAAAGTGTCCACTTGTTTCGCTGCGCGTGCCGTTTCAATTTCTTTCCAAAATACTGCCAGTGTAGCCGGTTTTCTACAGTACACTACATCCTTTAAGGTTCCCCTATAGGTAGAAGTCAAGGGGTGTTCAGTTGGAGGTTCTGTTGCATACTCACGCCTCCATTGTCAAATTTCAAATACCACTTCAAAATGGCATTGTGCTCCTTGAGCGACAACCTTGCTTCCACCATTTTCTTTGATTGTCCTGCCTGTTGCATGGTGATGCTGGCATTCATTTGATTAACGCCATTTTTTGAGTAAACGTCATACTACACATTGCTACCATAATAGATAGCATCTCTTAAAATGTGTATACGTTTTTTGGCACCCCCAGTATTTCTTGAATGAATGAAAGAAAATTCCTATGGTTACCAGTGGACATCCTCATTATTTGAGTCCAGACAAAGCTCCTCCTTCCAGCTTCCTGTCCCCCAATTTAGCTACATCTCATGGTACCTCATGTACCTTGCAGTGGGTAGTGACTACTAAATGTGAAATGTAGCTCTAGTTCCTTTTTTAGGAGTGGCCTCACTCTGGCCTGAATGACACATGTGACCCTCAGCTGTAGAGGTGCCTGCACAGCTGTCGTCAAGTTACTCCTTGTGTCTGTGTGGCATGCTTCTGCTGAAAGTCTTCTTGTTTGTTCTTCAGAGCAATCCTCTGGCAGACATAGGGCAGGGATGAGGAGGCCAAGTCCTAGAAACGTGGACCACTTTGATGACACACGACTCGTAAGGCGCAGAGTTGGAACTAGAATTCATGGCATCAGGATCCTAGGCCAGGCCAGTTTCCAATTCCAGCCTGCAATAGGACAGCTTCCGAGGCACTGGCTGCTCCCTCCTGGGTCTGCCCACTGCTTGTGTCTGGTGTATGTGTGAGTGGGGGCTTCTCCCCACACCTGTCCTCCTCCTCAGGTCTGAAGGTCATTGTGGGGGCCTTGCTGCGCTCTGTGAAGAAGCTTGTCGATGTGATGATCCTGACTCTCTTCTGCCTCAGCATCTTCGCCCTGGTAGGTCAGCAGCTCTTCATGGGAAGTCTAAGCCACATATGTGTCCAGGAGAGCTGTTTGAATTACACTAAATATGACGGTAAATATCCCACCTTGTATTCCTTGGTTTGTGCATGGTTCACTTTGTTTTATCCCCTCTCATACTGTCTACAACCTGCATGCATTACAGAGTCTTTTAGGAGCAAGAAATGACTTCATCTATCCAGGGTTCTCATGCGCGCAGATGCATGTCCTAGAGACTTGCCTCATTCTTTGGGTTTCTGTGGAGAAGGAATAGCCCCAAGTCATATCCACAAGCACAGTGTTAGCTCCCATCCTGTCCCACATAGATTTCTGCCCACTTCTTTTTTCGCAAGTCTTCCAAGTGACTGGATTTGGGCCAAAGGGAACCAGCAACTTCCCAGTCCACAGCCCCAGTATTTTCTCCAATGAAATTGCTTCTTTCGACACTGCACTCTCTCTACACTAAGGTTGACCCTACCCCAGTCTGATGTGTCCTGAATCTCATGAGGCTACACTTTCCCTGTGTCTGTCTTGGTTTATGAGCTTCTCATGGGTTGAATCTGTGTCCTCCTTCCCGGGGGGGTGGCTGTAGTTCAGATTTATGTACTGAAAGGCAAAGTGGTGGTGGTGTCACTGCTTCCTCCCCGCCCCCCTTCTCTTTTCCTTTCCCTCCTTTTCTCTTGTTCCTTCTGATTGGCTTAGGCTCTGCCTCCTCTCGACACCCACATTGGTCATTTTAGAGGGTTGTGCGCTATCTAGCAAATAGCATATTTGCTATTCTTTCATTTCAGTGGTTTGTTTTTTTATCTGAATTTATGATTCTTTTCTTCTCAGACTGTTGTTTAGAAAAGAAAAGTTCCACTGAATTCAGACTCTGTGGCACCTGGTTGGGTAAAAGGTAAGGAGCTTGTGCTTTCCATTTTTCTCCCAAGCAGAGCAACTCTGGACCTTTTAAAGCGATGTGGCCAACAGTCTTCATCTAATGACTTGTGGAAGCAGTGATGGTAGTTCTCAAACAATACTGATTATTTCATGTGTCTAAGCAAGTTGAGATGTGCATGATTAAATTAAAAATTATTTCCAAGTGTTTAGAGCATCTTTCTCCCCCAAATTATGTTGAATTTGTAACTTATCAGAAGTCTACTGAAAACTATGGAGTGGCTATTCAGGATGTTCAAAGGTAAGAAAGGACATTATGATTGAGAGCCCACGAAGTTCTTGTTTCCTGTCCAGTGCGTCACCCTGGTGCAAAGCCATGTGAAAAGAGAAGCATACTTCTCCTCTTTGTTGATCTGTTGACCACCACGGCCTCTAATTGTATGTGGGTTCTTACACATTCACCCCAACAACTGGTAACTCTCTGGCCCTTTGGAGATGTCTTTCCTTCATCCAGGATATCAGTGCTCTCTGTGGTGAGAGACTCAATTCAGTGAAGATTTATTGAGTGTATTTCAAATTAAGGTAATATGCTAAGCACCGTGATGAAATAGACAACATTCATTCCTCAATAACAAATAGGTATCAAAGGCTTCAGTGTGCCAAGCTCTGCGTTAGTCCCAAGGAACACAAGTGTGAACGAGGGAGCTCTGTCCTCTTGGGATGACATCTAGCAGGGAAGAGAGATGTAGAGTAAATCTTTGAAATTGTGAAGAGTGTTATAAGAGAGATGTGCAGATGCAGAGAGAGATGACAGGGGATTTAACTCTGTCTGTAAAATTAGGGAAGGCTTCTCTAACGCCACTTGTGGTCACAGGTTTGGATTAGATCAAACTCACAAGATGTAATAGGCTTTACCCTAATACAAGGTTTACTGAGCTCTCTAGAGTGATCCTTAACAAGACATACTGCACCCATGGTGTTTTCATTTAATGAGAGACCCAACTTCTGTCACATTAAGTGCTTCTTTTGACTCCTCATCCATGCAAGGCAGGTATGGTTACTATAGGTAAAATCCAAGGTGGGGTGGGCCACCTAGATACACAGAAGCAGCAACCTTAGTTTCCAATTTGTCTTTATAGTGTCCTTGTCTTTCTAAGCTTGTGTCACAGTTCCATTTCTCAATCTAGGCATAGTCTTAAAGCTCAGGGGTTTTATAGTAAACCAACTCCAAGTACACGTCCTTCCACATTGATCATAACATGGCAGTTTTCAAAGAGATGGCAGACCCAAGGCCACCTTCCCAGGCAGGCAGTGGTGTGTTCAGAGCCCAGGCCTGGTTTTCAATCTTTGCCCATGTTCTCCTTCCCTGAGGACTAACTGGTGATTACAACGTGGATCTTAAGCATGAGTAGAAAACTCTGGTAGGTGAGAAGATCGAGAAAATAATACCAGCCAGTAGAAACGGCAAAGGTGAAGGCCTCGGGTCATGTTGGGGATGGTAAGAAGCCCAGCAGCTTGTGACGCAGAGGGGCAGGTGACAGGAGCCAGCCATGCAGGACCTAGTAGTCCATCGGTGCCAAGGATTTTGATCACAAATGAAACAAGACCTGAGCTTATTAGATATTTTTAAAAATCACTATGGCTGCTATGAGGAGAATTCAAGGATGGAGTAGACGAGGCAGCCACTTAGGAGCCTATGTTAGTACAGATGAGAGTTATGAAGCTTTCCAGTAGAGATGGAAAGAAATGGATGGATGAATTCCAAAGATAATTAGCAAACAGAAAGAATAAGAATGAAAGGATTAAAGAACAAGAATGAAAGAGGAGTGCTGGTGTGTATATACGTATGCAAATGCCCATGTTAGATGGCAGTGGGACGTGCAGAGGAGGGAAAACCGTTATAGGTGTTCCTCTTGTTTCTGGTGTGAGTGACTGGTGATGCCTTTCCTGAGATGGGAACACTGGAGGAGAGACTTCATCGCCTATATAGGTTGATGGGAAAGCATATCCACAGAGCGGGAGATTGAGCAAAACAAGCTAATTTTGAATGGTGACCAGAAAATGAGGGAAATTAAATATGGTGGTAGATTCAGCCCCAATAAGCTCCTGGAAGATAAGGGCACTGAAATATCACAGAATTTCATCAAGGTCTAGTGGGATTTTCTCCTTCTGAGTCACCATAAAGCAAAAACCTACCACTGACCAAACCCCAGTGCACATCAAGCAGATGCCCAAATAGCTTGTCAGGACCTCTGATTCCAAAAGCCCAGGCTTACCAAGCAACTGAAGAAAGCCTTTGGCATAAAGGAGGCTGAGATAAAGAAACAGAAAAAGTAATCATTGTCTTCGTTCAGGCTGCTGCAGCAAAATCCCATGGACTGGGTGACTTATAAACAACACCTTCGTTTCTCACATTTCTGAAGGCTGGAAGTCTAAGATCAGGGCACCAGCATGGTGGGGTTCTAGTGAGGGTCCTCTTCCAGGCTGTAGACTGCTGTCATCTTCTTCTATCCTCACATGTTGGAAAGAGGGCTAAAGAGCTTGCTTCAGGTCTCTGTTACAAGGGACCATCCTCATGACCTAATGACCTCCCAAAGGTCCCACATTCTAATACCATCAATTAGGGGTTATGATTTCAACATGTGACTTGGAGGGGACAGACATTCAGCTCATAAGGACTATGGACAAAACAACAAGAATTCAGAGAACCAAGGGCTTTTAAAACTTTAAATAGGGTCCTTGGTGAAATTTAAAGAGATATTGTATACATAAAAATTAAAATAGCTTGTTTTGAAAAAGGAACAGTAAAATAAGAAAAATATCTTTTGGTAATATGATTACAAAAAAATCAATAGCAGAATGAAAAGATAAAGTTGAGGAACTATTCCAGAAAATAGCAACCAAAGACAGAGACAGAAAATGTGAGAATAAATATCAATCCAGAAGTTCCAACTTTTGATGAAGTAAGAATTCTAGAAATAAAGCACAGAAAAAAACAAAAGGGAAGAAATTAGCCAAGCAATAATACAGAGACTTTCCCTAGGATGAAGGATGTAAGTCCCTTGGTATCCCATAAACTGCCCAATACAATGAATGAAAAGGGACCATGCCAAGTGCAGCATCATGGCATTTCAGAACCTTGGGGGGAAAAGACCTTAAAACCAAAGAGAAAAAGAAGGTCATCCACAAAGGAACCAAAATCAAAATGCTATCAGAATTCTCACCAGCAACACAGGACAGTAGTTGAGCGGTGCCTTCATATTTTTAAGGAAAAATGATTTTCAACCCAGAATTCTATTTCTGGCCAAACCATCCATCAACTGTGAAGGTAGAATAAAGTTATATTCATATATGCAAAGATCACCCCATCTTCTTAAGCTACTTGAGATTTGCTCCAGAAAACTGAGGGAGTAAAACTTGGAAAGAGCAACACACAAGTGCCAAGAAAAATGGATTCAACCCAGGAGAGCCATCAACACAGGCCATCGTATTTTTCTATGAAGAGTGATAAAGGTGTGATGAAGTGGGATGGGGTTCACTACCCTAGCATGACATTAATCAACAAGAACTAAAATTGATAACTCAGACATCGGTATAAGCATTATGTTTAGAGATGTGGACGTAAAAGAGTTACAAGTTATTGAATTAGGGATGTGTAAATGACGGTTAAAGAATGATGGAATGATTTTCATTGCAAGCCTTTGGGGCCATGTGATTTTTAAACCACACCCCGGTATTACTTTGCTAAAAATACTATTCTTTATTAAAAATGATGAAAGTGCATATACTTAGTATATCATATACAATAGATCCACTTGATGTGAGCTTTGGTGATGTGGACAAAGACCTGTGTGCAGGATACCCATGGTTTGTAGAATAAAACCCAACTGCTTGTAAAGCCAAATGACTGTTAACACGGAAATGTTCTGATGAAATGTTCATCATCAGCAAAGCAGTTAGAGAAATCACAGGACTGTAAGACACAAAAAGAAATGAGATCTTCTCCCTGTGTGCTGATATGGAAAGACCTCCAAGCTCTGTTGTTCCTTGAAAAGGCGAGGTGCAAGAGGGTATTTAAAGACGGCTCCCATGTATGTGTTATAGACGATGTGTAGTGATGTGTGTGTGCTCCTGCAGTCACAGGAGACTCCTGGAAAGTTGCAAAAGTAACTTCAACTGCTGCCTCTAGGAAGCGGGACTGAGGGTCCGTGGAGAGAGGGAGACGTGTTAGTCAGTGGATGCCCTTTTCTACTGTTCATTGTTCACTATGTCACCATGGCATTTAGTGTTTCAATGAAAAACTGCTAATATGCATTTACTAATCAATCAATGTGAAAAGAGTCAGTGGGTGCCCACAGTAAGGTATAGGCTGGGAGGCATGGCAGTGGGGGGATGGCCATCCTACAAATACTCTCTTCACCCGAGACCACGGCCCTCGGAAGGACCAGTGCTATGAGAGGAAAGGGAGAAGCTGGGCTGTAGGGAATGTGATTCTTTCTCTGTCTTCTTCTTTCCCATATCTAGTGCCTGTCCGAACATGTCTCAATGCAGATCCACCCACAGGAATCCTGACTATGGCTATACAAATTTTGACAGTTTTGGCTGGTCTTTTCTTGCCATGTTCCGGCTTATGACCCAAGATTCCTGGGAGAAGCTTTATCGACAGGTTATCTTCTTTTCTTATTACCACCCGGACACATGCACTCCTAGCTATTACTTATTTATAACCTACCCTCTATTCTCCACCTTTGTCAACTATTCCTCATCCTTAACAGTGATGCTGTCAAATTCTGCTTTAGGAATTCTGTTAGAAACATATAAAAAAAAATGATAACCTCGATACCTGGAAGAATAGTGCGTATACATGCCTCTTCCTAGAAATATTACAGCTCTGCAGATTCCCTACCGCCTGAAGTTCCACCACGAGCACTTCAGTTTTCATGAAGCATTTGCTATTGCTCTTGCTCTTTTAATTTTAAAATGCAAATACTCTGGCGAAAATCACAGTAAAGTCACCGAGACGTCCATGGGCACGTAGAGATAGCATAACCTCCCTGAGAGATGGCTTCGTGAGTCCCTGGGTGACTGGGAAGGCTATAGATGAGGCAGGTGAGCCCACCAGTACTGTACCATTTCTGCCTGAAGCGATGGTCACCCCTCTGTGGCAGAAGGTTTCCGATGCCAGCCTGTGCTCTGTCCCTTGCAGACCTTGCGTACCTCGGGGCCCTTCGCAGTCTTCTTCTTTGTGGTGGTCATCTTCCTGGGCTCCTTCTACCTCGTTAACTTAACCCTGGCTGTGGTCACCATGGCTTATGAGGAGCAGAACAGGAACGTAGCTGCTGAAACGGAGGCCAAGGAGAAGATGTTTCAGGAAGCCCAGCAGCTGTTAAAGGAGGAGAAGGAGGTACGGGCTCGTGGCGTCAGACAGGGGGCTCTGCTTAGGGGCACTCCAGGGGCCAGTGGGCCTGAGGCTCAGGCTGCTGTAGGAGGCCTGGTCACAGCACGCTCTCTACTGGTGCTTTTCCGCCAATCTAAGCCTGTTGCAGACTGGCTCTGCTGCTCTCTCTCACCAAGGTGTCCAGGCACAGGGCTGTGGAGAACAGGGAACTCTTGGTTTTGTTGCTCTTTGACCTTCTGAACGCTGGGCCTTCTAAGACAGATTCCAAAGTGCTGGCTAGAGGATAAAACACACACACACACACACACACACACACACACACACACACACACACGTAAACTGAGGCTCTGCCCCAGGCTTTCTTGTGGGAATCTGGACATGTTTGTGTTCACTCCTTTACTTGAAAGGGTTTGGGAAGGCAGTAATGGTGACTCTAGAGATAGCATCTGTGATCACCTCTCTCTGCTTGAAATTCCTGTCATATGTATAGGCCATTCTCATGGTTTCCCTGGTATCTTTATATTTTTCCTACTCAATTCTAAGATTTTCAGGGCAGGAACCACGTTTAAAACTCCTTCTCACCCTCCACAGAGATTTATCGGGGGGCGGGCAGTGGGGGGAAGTCCATTGTAAGTGCTTAATGTCTGCATCATCAGGCATAAACATTTGTTGCGTGCCGAGTACATACAGGACACTGTGTAAGGGTTAGTGATATAGAGATATGAAAGAGTGCTCCCTGCCTTTGAAGGTTGCAATCTTGTGGACAAATTGGACGTGTTCCCCGGAAAAAGGATGACAAAGCTAGCATATTCCAAATAGGTGATGAGCCACGTACATGGTACAGCGCTACCCAAAGAGAGAAGAGGATGCTCACTAAGGTCAAGGTCATTTGCAGTGTTTGACAGGGCAGTATAATCTGTTCATTAATCGCTTTTGTTCACTTTCTAAGGCTCTGGTTGCCATGGGAATTGACAGAAGTTCACTGAATTCCCTTGAAGCATCGTCTTTTTCCCCAAAGAAGAGAAAGCTATTTGGTAGTAAAAGGAAGTCCTTTTTTGTCAGAGAGTCTGGGAAAGAACAGGTTCCAGTACCAGATTCTGATGAAGATACCCCAATAAAAGTAAGTCTTGGCCAAGGAATTAATGATACCATATCACTGTTCATGGGGGTAGGTCAAGTCATCAATCTAATGTGAAGGATTCATTCATTCATTTACTCATTATCCACTCATCCGTTTGTACATACTTTCCTGCAAACCTGTATCTATTCAATTACCCACTTATTTGCAAACATTTATTTAAGCATCTATCTATTTGACAGTGTTTGCTATCTGCTTAGCACTGGGGTAGGTACTGGGGATACAGAGATGTGTAAGACAAACAATTGATGAGGAAGACACACTAATGAGGAGTCAGTTATTATTCAGTGTGATGATGGACACGATGACTGCTGTGGGAGAACAGAAGAGGGGCAGTGTCTTAGTGTGGGTTCCCTTCAAAGCAAATGCTGAGATGTTAGAGCGCAAGTAGATTACTTAGAAAGTGATCCCAGGAAGCACTGAGAAGGGAGGAAAGAAGTGATTACATGGGAGAAAAGGTGGCCAATGGGGGTGCATTATTAAGCCACTGAAAATAGTTGGCCTTTAACCTCCCTGGACTGAGGGCACTAGAGTATTTATACACCAACTTTGGTCCATCATTAGATAAAGACTGCTGGGGTCAGGGGACAATAATTTTCCTGTACTATTTCTGACTTGCTGTGCATTAGGGCAGAGGGGGTTCAGGTCACCAGAGAAAGCCCTCAGGTAAAACCCAAGGACATAGAATGGAGCCAACAACAGCATGTGCTTCAGACAACCACCCCAGATTTGGTGGGGGTTTGGGGAAGAGCAGTCGATTAGAATAGAGTTCCTAGGGGGAAGCAGTTCTAAGGTGAAAGGATGAACTCATAGGCAAAAGAAAGAAGGGAACACTACAGGTAGAGAGAACAACATGTGAAGGCAAAGGTGTGGAAACAAAGGAGAGCAGGAGAATGAGGGGGGGGGAGAGAGAGAGAGAGAGAGAGAGAGAGAG